CTTTGTAAAATGCTTCACCCATGTGTGGCAGTATTACAAAGGCAGCTTTCCATGACTGTATTTTTCTATGGGAGCAGTATTCTTTTCCCCAAGCAGCAAACATTTGCCAATTAACTCTTATCGTTATAAAACACTTGGAGGTCTTGGACTGCATACAAGGTGCAAAATACCCAGAAAGTAAAAGCACACACACAGATAAAAACATTTGCCAAAAAATCCTCCTGTAAACTTTCATTACAAAAATTAACCATTTATTTAGACCTGCGGGACCAAATGCTGCTTAATGAGACATTATACAAACATTATAAAACAATGAGTTAGTCACACAGCATTCTTTCCTCTGCAACAAGCCAGCTAAAGGTTGTGCTCAAAAAGATGTCTGTTTAACCTGACATGGGTGCACATACAAGACAAACACAAGAGAGTGGATGGAAGAATGAAGACAAGAGAAGATTTTGTAAGAATCTAGGCAAAATCCAGCTAAGATAATAGTGGGAAGAGTTCTTCTCTTAAGAAGAACTAGTTTTCATTTCAAATTAGAATAGTAAAATTGATTGATAACAATGTGAGATTGAAATGCAAATGGAAAGACATGCAATGGAAACAGACGATCCTACCTTGTTACACATGCATTATTTGAGGAAGGAAAGAAACTGAGCTCAAATCTATGCTTTGCTGCTCACAGCATTTGCTGTCTGGCAAATACACATGAACTGTGTGAAAATGTTTAGGGATTTGACATTCATTGGCAAGGAGGAAGCTCATCCTCTGCACTCCTTGCAGTTGCTGAGTCAGCCAACACACCCCTACTCAGGTGTCAGTGGTCTAAATGATGACAATACCCTTACTGACAGCTTAATCCCAGGAAATCTCTGTTGAATTATTAGCTGAGGCTCCAACATCCACAACTGCATACTGCTCCTCAAGCAAACTGAAGATTTCCTAGTTTCCAATTCAGGCAGGGAGGATTCTGCAACCATTAAACTCTGCTCAAAAGTCCAAACTTACTTTCAGTACAGGATTTTTTTAAACATATTCACCACCAGTATAAGGCCTCAGTCAAAGGAGCAAAGTGTCCAGTCCTTCAGGTGATTAGAACTGGGTTGTGTCCATAACAATTATTAACTGCTGCAAAATGCCACCTAGACCTTGAAGGAAAGTATTAAAAATACAAGAAAATGTTGCAACAGTACTTCATCCTCCCCTCTTCTGGCTGGAAAGCTGGCCTGTTCAGCATTCAGTCTCTTACAGATACAATCATTTATATAAGAAAGGAAAACTTGTTCTTAACTCATCTGCCTGTATTACCAAGTGCTTTTTTTAGTCCAGTAGCCAGATGTCTATTTGTAGGCTGCTAAGTGATGTACATTGAGTATATGCTGTGTGCAGCTCTTGCAAATTTTATATGCTGGCTGCACAGAGAATGAATGCACGCTGATGATGCTCCAATAGCAACAAACCCAATTACCTAAGCCACTAACTCCCAGTAAGGAAGCAGAAATACAGCTGTTACTTCACTACCTTAAAGAAACATTTGCTGTTTTGATCTCAGACTACTGTACAGTGAAATAAATGACAGATTCATATTAGTGAAGAACTGGCCTATAAGTTGAAATCGCTTCTTTTAATAATTGTTAATTTCTTGTACTCCAGAGCTTGTATTCCAGAGCACCCCAAATGCAGGAAAGCAGACAAGAATCCAGCTACTTCATGCATGTGAGTAACTTATGAGATGGAGCCACAGGGATGAAAAGTCTGGGGAAAAACAAATTTCAGATTTGAAACCAAGGACATTTCTGAGTCATCCTGCAGTAAAAAACTGAGTCCTGTCACACACAGCCAGAATGAATTTGGTGTAAGGAACAGGTGAGAATGACTGCAGAGGAATTACTTCATAAAATGATTTTGGTCATAAGCAATGTGCGGAGGTCAGCTAGCCCAAACACCTTTTCTACGCAGTGCTAACTTCAGATTTTGAGACCCTGGGCCTTGTCTCTCTGAGTTCCAGTGTTCAAGGTCTGCTTTGAAAGTAATGCCTCCCATTTTAGAGTGGTGGGCCTGTACACGTACAAGAACAAGATGACATTATCACTGCAGGAAACAGCTGCAGTTCTACAGACTGAGGGCAGTTAGAAATTTAGCCGAGAGCCTCACTTAATAAGTTCATATTGCATTTCAGGGCTCACATGCACATGTCATTTTCTGACATCACTGCATAATTCTGCATCCACAAAATTGCTGAGTCTGTACATAAGGGAAGAACTTAAAGCTGGGACTGGAAAAAACAGGAAAATCAGAGGAAGATCAGAGGAAGATGAAGAACAAGCTCGTTCTTCTGTTCACTGAGTATGTACCCTACAAAATACTTCTTCCTGTCATGAGTGGCAGATAAAGTCTCACACTGCATCACAGAATTAATTAATCATTTAATTATCATAGAAACATTAGGGTTGGAAAAGATCTCTAACATCATCTAGTCCAATCATCCACCTACAACCAACGCTATCCATTAAATCCTGCTCCTTACTATCACATCCACACATTTCTTGAACACCTCCAGGGACAGTGACTCAACCATGTGCCTAGGCACCTGCTAGCACAACTTGAGGCCATTTCCTCTAGTTCTATTGCTAGTTACCCAGGAGAACCAACCCCCACCGTGCCACAACCTCCTCTCAAGGAGCTGTAGAGAACAATAAGGTCCCCTGAGATTTCTCTTCTGCAAACTGAACAATCCTAGTTTCCTCAGCCACCCCTCATAAGGCTTGTGCTCCAGTCCCTTCACCAGCCTTATTGCTCTTCTCTGAACACACTTCAGACCTTGATGTCTTCCTTGTAATAAAGACCTTGTAATAAAGAACACAGTACTCAAGATGCAGCCTCATGAGAGCTGAGTACAAGAGGCCAATCATCTCCCTATTCCTGCTGGCTCTGCTATTTCTGATACAAGCCAGGAAGCCAGTGGCCTTCTCCAGCTATCCAGGCACACTGCTGGCTCATGTTCAGCTGACCTGAGGGTACTGGTTGATGCTCTTTTTCCTCTGCACAGTCATCCAGCCACTGCCTAAAGCCTGTAGCACTGTGCAGGATTGTTGCGGCCAAAGTGCAGGACCTGGCACTTGGTCTTATTGAACTTCACCCCGTTGGCCTCCACCCAATGATTCAGCCGGTCCAGATCACTCTGTATGGCCTTCCTAACCTCAGGAAGTTGGATAATTCCTCCCAACTTGGTGTCATCTGCATACTTACTAAGGGTGCATTCAATCTCTTCATCCATCTCTTCAGCAATAAAGATACTGAACAGGATAGGACCCAGTACTGACCCCTGGGGATCACCACTCATGACCAGTCACTGGATTTAACTCCATTCACCATCACTCCCAGTAATTCACCTGTGCTACTGGAAGGGCTGGAGCCTTGCTCCATCTCTCCTAGACCCCATTTAAGAGCTGACTGCCACTGAGGAAGGATCTCTTCCTGGAGATCACTCCTCATGGAGAACACTGTGAGCCTACAACATCAGTAAGCATTTTCCACTTATTATCTTTCTATTACAATAATCCTACTTAGCCTAAAAATCTGTATGCCAATTGATTTTACACCTCTGTACGCTCATTGATTGTACACCTGGTTGTTTCATAAATGCCTCACGATCTCACTCAAGATGATCTGTTCCATAAACTTTGCCAGCACTGAGTTCTTGGCTGACAGGCCTGTAGTTCATCGAGTCCTTCTTATGACCCTCCTTGCAGATGGGAGCCATGCTGGCAAGCCTCTAGTCCTCTGAAGTTGACCAGGAATGCTGATCGATGGTAGAAAACTGTGGGAATACAAGAAAAACTGTTCGGAGTAGCAGCTGTGGAGCAAGATAAAGTTATAGGAGCAAGGGAAAGTTGTAGGGGTGGATGTGAAAGCTAGAAAAAGAAAACTGGTGAAGGTATATAAGTGATGTTAGAACTTGTAATAAATGATTTGGATCGTTCATATCTGAGTCCGTGCATCAGGTGCTGCAAAAGGTGCCCACTGCATGGGGCAAACCAAGCCGAGGCTGAGTGAGCCCGGCCCGGCACCGCCACCTGGCTGAACGATGGAGAGATTGGCGCCCGCAGCGTTCTGCAGGACAGAAGGCGAGCGGTTGGGAACGATGGGCAGTTCGCTAACGATGCAGCAGCAAGGAAATCTTGCAGCATTATGGTTAGCTTTAACGTTTCAGAATCAGCCTGTATCTACCTCAGCATTAGCTACTTTTCTCAAATGGATAAGCAAAAACGTCCCTGAATTTGGATTCTCCTTTGATGGAGAGCTTTGGGACAAAACTGGCGTAAAACTCCGCGAGGCTTCTATTCCTATAGACAGAACGGCTGCTAAACTTTTACCCGGCAACGAATAATGGAAGGGCTTAAACAAATTCAACAAGGAAGAATTCCTTCCGACTATTCCCCATCGCCCTCCCTCCCACCGCCACCGCCACCCCCACCGCCACCGCCACCGCCACCGCCCCTCGCTGCAGAAAGCAGCTCCGACCCCACCCCTAACCGTAGGGAAGAGAGATCGCAACCCCGCCTTTGCTGTTGCCCTTTGGCTCCGCTGCCGTCACTCGTCGCGCCGCTCCCGCCCTCCGCCCGGCCCACGTCGCTCGCCGCGATGCTGCCTTCCTCCGCGCCGCCTACGTCGCCGCCTGCTGCTGCGTCTCTGCAGCCTGCGTGTAACTTGGCTAAAGACAATAACGGGCCTGCATAAGGCCACGAGAACTTACCTCCGAGAATGGGGGGGTTAGACACGTTACAGGCATTCCTCATTCTCCCACTGGACAAGCTATCACAGTCACTTCTCTCTTATTGGTATTCCGCACTGCCACTCTTCTAGGATCGCCCATTGGTCAGCGAGGAGGCGGGACCTCCCACTGAGTGCACTTATTCCGCAGGCGGGGGAGGCGGGGTGGGTTCTCTGCTCGGCTCTGCGCTGATTGGTTGTGCCGCCCCAAAGGGCATAAGCGATCTGCGTGTGTGTGGGGCGAAGCGGGAAGGGGCGAAGCGGGAAGGGGCTGGGAGAAATATTGCCTGGAGGCAATAGGTAGGCACTGGGAGTGTATGCAAGGTGGGCTAGAGGATATCGGGGGTCACCGGCATGTAGTGGGACCACTGCAATAGGGAAACGGGAGTGACTGGGATTTACTGGGAGCCGCTGGGAATGTGGGTGGGGATACTGGGAGGTGCTGGGATGGTGAAGGGTGGTTAATGGGAGGTAGCTGGGAGTCAGCAGGCGGCTCTAGCTCCATGCGTTGGCTGCCCTGTCTATTCCCTTCTTCAAATCAGATTTTCAAAGCTATGTACCATGGGTGTGGGTTTTCTTTACTGACCTTGTCAGCACACTGCCCACCTTTTAGTATCTGCCAGGTGGGGTAATTTCCTTCTTGTCGAGAACTTCCTCCTGATGGAGTAACTGGCAGCTTCTGGAGAGCTGCTGTGATCAACAACTGGACCTAATATTTTCTGTGATTCTTCTTTTAATGGAGGAGACAAGTGACTGCACTGGTTCAAATGGGTGACCCAGCATGCTGCTGTTTGAGATTGGGCTACCCCGATTTAGGAATGCACGTCAGGGCTTGCACCCACCCCTATATATATATGTCCACTTGATTTAAAAGGGGATTATAAACAGGAGGGAAATCAACTTTTTATTTGGGTAGGCAGTGATAGGACAAGGGGTTTTAAGCTCAAGGAGGGAAGGTTTAGATTAGACATCTGGGGGAAGTTCTTTACACAGAGAGTGGTGAGGTGCTGAATCAGGCTGCCCGGAGAGGTTGTGGATGCACTGTCCCTGGAGGTGTTCAAGACCTAGTTGGTCTTGAACCTCTGGGCAACCTACCTAGTACCAGATTTGGAGGTTGGTTGTCCTGCCTGTGACTTGGGGGTTGGAACTTGGTGATCGTTGGTGTCCCTTTGAACCCAAGCCGTTCTATGACTCTATAATTCTGTGACCTGCTAATTGTACTTTCAGTGGTGCTTTTTTTCCTTTTGATCCTAGTGCTGTGGATTTCCCAGTGGTTGTTGAGGCTAAGGTAATCATAAATACAGGTTTTAGCATTATTTCTAGGAACAGAAAATGCCCAATAGCTGATCACATCACAACAGAAGTTAATATGCTGATATTGAAGAGTGGCAGTTTTGTTCCCTTCACTGCTTAACTAATTTTGCTCTGAAGTACAGAGCAAAGGATGTGTGAACTGTTTTGGAGCTGTGTGCCTGCTTGCATACTGTGGCAGTGAGCACTGCAGAGAACTTTATAATGTGCAGCAGCTCACGACACAGAAGATAACTGTGAACTTCCTGTCTGTTTCCTTCCTAGATGACACCAGGCCTTCCCATAAGCTCCGTGAAAATGATGAGAATGACTTCCAAGGCTGTGAGTTGTGGCTGATGAGAGAAGCTAAGAAGAGCAATCTCAAAACTAATTGGTAAACTAATACAAGCCTTCAGATTTATATATTTTTTTCTAACTAATACGTCTGACCCTTAGTTGTTTTAGTGGACCAATGTTTTTATGTTGCACTGTGCAAGGTAGAGAATCCTTAGGATTTGGTACGCTTACATTGATGCTGCTCTCAAACAGACTGTTTTTGCTTTATATTATGGGCAATGACTTTCTTATGATTTGCTCATGTCAAATGACATTAATGCTTAGACTTAATCACAGTGATGAATATAAATGATTTATTATGAGGGCTGCATTTCTGAATAATAAAAAGTTTGCTGTCTACAGTAAAGTTTCTGAAGTTATGGTTCCCATCCTACTAGGAAAGTCTGAACCTTTCTGTTGTAATATGGGAGGTGTATACGATGTGTATCTCTGCAGGAGTGCTTCCCTTTGTTTTGCTGACTGGTTTTGTCAGTGTCAGTCTTGCGCTCTGGGGAGCACATGGATGCTTGAGAAATTGAACTTGGAGAGGGTGTGGGGTGTAAGATGTGTACTTGAGAGGAGTTTTTGCCTTGCAGTGCTTTTAGAGTTGAATGTAAGTTCTACGTATGAAGTATTTAAATAATATCTTGTTTCTCTGTTGTTATTGACATTCCCTATGACCATGTCTTGAAGAGAAATAGTGGAGAAAAACATTTCTAACAAGCTGTAGAGCCATTGTTAATATGTAATATGTAACAAGGCTAACTGTTGTAGAGAGCTCTCACAGCATGAGTGTTCTTTTCAGCAAGACTACAGGCAGCAGTGGGCTTAAGAATGAGAGAAACAAGCGTCTGTCTTGAACTTTCATACAGAATATTTTTCCTGGAGGGCTGATAAAACCAATCAGAGCTATTTCCTTTGGCAAACTGAAACTGAAGAGTTCAGTAATAGTTGTGAAAGATTTATTTATGTATATGTGTGATTACATTATGTTTCAACACATACTGATTTCTTGAAATGGATTTTACTTTTTGCTTTATAGATAAGGAATGAATGGGCATTTCACAGGAAATGGATCAAGATATGTCTCTTTTTTTTTTTCTTCTCAAAAGTGAAAGTTTCTTTGTTATCACATGTGATTTGCTTGTCTGATTTTTCTCTAGAACAGAGACCTTAATCCTGTGAGTTCTGGTCCTGCCCATGGCAGGCTTTGAAGCAAGATGATCTTTGAGGTCCTTTTCAACCCAGGCCGTTCTATTATTTGCTTACTGACCTCTTGTGGTAGTTGCAGGCATGAAAAACTAACAGGATCAGACCCTTAGATATTTTTTTTTATCTGAAATTTGTATTTGAACCCTGTACGCCAGTGTGTGCTAACTATATATGGCATTTGAATTGAAGCTGCAGTTGAATCATACAAATTCATCTTGTTATTGGCTGGAAAATAGCTTATTTTATAAGTCAAAGATCTAAAATTCCTTACAATTCTCAAGTGAAGTTCCAGTGGATATAAGGGCCCTAAATTATTGATACACAGCTCCAGATTTTTATTACATTTTCTGATTTACCTTTTCCATAAGGTAGGAGCTTTGCATTTTACCTGTGCAAAAGTCAATACCTCATTCAGAACATGAGTTGGAGAGAGGGGCTGTTTCACCTGAGGTAATACTAGGCTATCACTGTTTGCTTCCTCACATGCCTCTCTTTGGAAGCTTTCTTCTGTTTGAGTTATGTCATGCTGAAGTGTAACCTTAAGTGTGAGTTCAATATTCATTTCTTTGTTGCTGCTTTGAGGCTCAGAAGCAATTGCAGTAGGAGAGTTAAAGAAAGAAGATAAAGTAAATTAAAAGTTAAGCTGAGAAAGCTGCTGATTCTACTTTTTTTCCCCATGCACAACTTAGCAGAAACTGGATCCCTTCTGCTTCAGATTAGTCAGTCAGTGGCTGTTAGAAAAGTTCTTTTAGTTGTTGTACTCAGTTTTGTCGTTTGTCCTTGACAACTTCTGTAGTTATTTCATTCAGTGATTAGTTTTAGCAGAATAATACAGAAAATTGAGTACTATGGTTAACTGTGACATGACGTAGGAGGGGAGAAAAAAACAATGGCTACAAAAAAGCTTGAGTGTAATGAGCAGCCATTTGTCAAAAATCCTCACAGTTTGGTATTTTTGGAGCAAAGTGAGGGTTGGAGGTACAGAAGGACAGGAGAAACTGATGATTTGCCCACAGTAGCGGCAAAAACTGGAGCCCTTCACAATACTGAAATGCTTCATATTTGGCTGTAAACTTCAAAAAATATGCTACTTTGTAAAGTAGGAAGTGTAAGTGTAAGTGTTTGTAAGTGGAAGGTAAACAGCATTTTTTAAACATGTACCAAAATACCAACATTCTATCAGAACCCTGACATTTCTGAAACACCAAATGGCTATGGAAACCCATCATTGCACTGAATTGCCTTTTTTCCTTTGAACAGTAATTTGGAAAACAGCTACTTTTCCCTTTCTGAGCGCAGCCTGTGATGCAACGAATATCACACTGGAGTAGGCACGTGTACCTGGTCTATCAGAGCGCTTATTTCCAAATATCTGTTATTATGGTCACTAGGGTTTAGCAGGTGTTGACTGCCACACTTAAGAGTTTTGCCTTTCTGGTGCCCAGCTGTATGGGAACTGCTGAATCATGACCTGAACCTCTGATCACCTGAGGCAAGCAATGAATCAGCCCTGGGAGCACAGGTGAAGGCAGTTCTCCTCTGCTGCTGGAAGGGGTGGCTCCACCTCTCCTAGACCCCACGTAAGTGCTGACTAGCAGTAGGGAAGGATCTCTTTCTGGAGATCACGCCTTTTGGAGTTTTCCAGTGAGCCTAGGACAAGTTAGTCCCGTATCTGTTCTTTTAGGTGTGATAACCTACATAGCCAAACTTTCTCATGTATTACTTAATTATAGCGCTGTGTATCCATAGATTATACACCAGTGTAGAGATTCTACCTGTGAGAGCAGTGGGAATGTTTTGCTGGTTGTAAGTGAGCAGGAAGAGGAAAAATGTGGCTTTCTCAGCATATACCATTTCTGCTAGCAGGAAAACGTGTTAACCCTTCTTTGAGAATGGAATGTTGTCTGAAAGGAGGTGAGCAATGATTTTATTTAATAGAGTTTAGGGAAGAGTCAAACTTGCAGCTGGATAAAATCTGCTTTGTCAGTTGAGGGAAGAACATTCTGGTTACTTACTGGTGTTTCTCTTTCTGCTAGGAGGACTGTAGCTGTCTGATAGGAGTGGTGTAAACAGGTAGTGTGGTTGCTTTAAGATGGGGGACAAAACTTGTAATCAGGTTTTTCTTACACTGGTGAGATGTTTTTCAGCTCATTATGAATAATATGACCTATGAATAATAGATACGATTACTTAGTAAAGTAACACACAAGCATTCAGTAGGAGGAATGCTATTCCTACATTTCTCTGGTGCTTTGCAGGGCATTTCAGCACGCTGTTTGCCTTGGCCAATATTCTTCTCACCTCAGAAGAGATTCTTTTCATTGTCACTTCCTGTAACCTCTGTGCCAATGGCAGACAGCCTGCTGGGGGCACCAGTTCTGTGTCAGGGATCGCTCTCTGTCTATCAGAGAGGGGCTGGGACTTGCTGTTTAGATGGGCAAAGGGGCAGCAGGAGGGAGCAGCGGCTGGAAGGCTGTTGATTGCTGGTTGCCTAGTTTTGCACAAAGTGAGGCTGTTGGCAAGGTGGCTTAAGCTGTAGCATTTAAAAGTGCCAACTTCCTTTATTTACTACTGTGTGTTTTCTTGGTGTGCCACAATGCTGTGTATATAGGTGTACAAGAGGCAATTTTCTCAATTCTGCAGCTTGTCATGCTTGAAAACGTAGCGACAAATAGCACCTTCTGTTAAGTTTCCTTAGAGAAGTGGTTGTATTTCCACATAAGAAATGAATAAGAGGGCATGTAAAATGAATTAAAGTGTATTGCAACTGTGGACAGCAGACAAGGAAAATTGGGAAAGTTGCACCCAGGCAGTAGAACAGGTATAGAGGCTGGAGTGAGAAAGTTCTGTCATCCTCCTGCATCACGGGCTTTACTTGTTGCAGATATAAATGTAAAAAGTGTGACGAGAGAGATCTGTACTCTGCAGTATTACACTCAAAATATGAACTTATGGGAAATTCCTGAAGTGCAGTGTTAATGGAACAAGCCACAGCATTAGCATCACTGGATGCCTGTGACAATTTGCTGTCACTTCTGTGCCAGCCCACCCCTGTTGCTGCCTGCACTCCCAGCCAGCAGCTGATGTGCTCAGGTGATCTCTTGCCTGCTCCTGGGAGCTGAGGGCATTCGCAGTGACCTGGCCACTTCCCTGGCTGGGTTAGGTTTCCCTGGCCAGCTGGGATTTGGCCAGGCTTCTGGGTAGTCATTGATATAGCAACATGAAGTGATGCTGAGGAACTATCAGATGTTAAAATTTCTGTTATAATCAGAGAGTTCAAACGCACAGCTGTGCAAAGAGGGAGCTGATGGTGCTCCTTCCTTCAATGGTGAAAGAAATGCCAGGCAAGGGCAGAGTGGCTAAAATAAAAACTGCATGCATGGTTGGTTGTTCTTTGTGTGCAGGAGTGACTGCCATGTCCTGTGCTAGCAGGAGTACTGGGAAGGTGCAGTGCTGAGTGGTGTGGTTGTGGTACTTTTGATGTTGGCATTACCACATGCACCTAACAGGGACCCTCAAATTTAGGGGTAAGAGGAAGGAATGGTCTCCTTGTTAGTGGTTACAGTGCTCAGGCACTGAATGGTAAAATCCTGTTGGTGTTGATCACAGTTGCAGACACCTCAGACAAGTGAAGGTTTGTAGCTGTTAGCTGAACAGGGAGGATTGTGATTGCAAACTTTTCACTGTTGGAATACTCATTTTCTTCAGAGAACACGTGCAGTGAACAGAGCTCTGTTGTACTGGGGAGCTGGGGCACCTATCGTGCGTGGATTTGCAACTTGCACAGCACTGGGGACTTCAGGGGAATTTCACAGAGCTTTAGCTTTGAGCAGTTTGATACCAGTGGAAAAGAAGGAAAGGTGAGGAATTGGCTTGCCTTAAGCTGTGCTGTGTTTCAGGCACATGGTGGCAGGTTGCTGTCACTTTTTTCCTTCAGAGCCCTGGCAGCAGACTTCTCTGCTGCACCCGAATGCAATCCCTGTGTGGTTTATATCCCTCTGTTTCTCTTGCCTCTTGTGAAACCCTATGGCTTGTCTTGTGGGAATTTCCAGTAAGACAGTGAGTGGGAGAGAAAGGAACACCACTGATTGTCCTATTGTGCAAATTCAGCATGAAATGGGCAGTGTGGAAATGGCTAACAGGGCTGTGAAGGCAGATCTTAAATGCTGTTCTTAAGCACCTTGGTCTGAAGAAGCAGTGGCACCAGGGAGAGAGGAGAGCAAGGGAACTGAATGTGGGGAGTTTGATCTGATTTTGCTGTCCTGGAGCTCTTGCAGCACAGAGCCAGTGTCTGGAAGTTTTTCTCAGTTAGCTTCTGGGAAACTGAGATACCTGGAACTGTTAGGCCTTGACTGGGGATCCACCTGTGGAAAGAGCAGATCATTGGAGCAAGGGAAGTAGCACACAGCCTTTCAGAAGTTCCTCTGTGCTTGGTGTAAGATCCATTTTGTTTGCTGGCCCAGAATAACAGCAGTGCTAAAATAAAAGCAGATGAAAGAAAGCCTTACAGATAGCACTAAATGTTAATGTGACAATAAAGAATGAATCGACTACCATTAAACAGGCAGTGATTTCTTTGCAGAATTAGCAGATGTAATTCGGAGGGGCTGTGTATGTATTGCATTTTTGTGTCCTGTCTTTCAGATTTTAAAGATGGGGATAATGCAAGCTGTGGCCCTGCTTGCAGAGATTAACTTGCGGCCTTTTGGAAGGTTTTGTGCTGAGCAAATCAGCCTGAGAGGGGAACTGATGAGGGATGAAGAAATAGGTGGGAACAGGACTGGGGGGTGTCCCAGCAGTGGGTTTCTACCTCAGCAGAACTGTTCTCATTGATTTATTTTAATTTCCACAAATCTTGCGTTAATTAGAGAAATGAGGAGCCTGTGTAGGAAGGAAAGTGCCACATTTTATGGTGCTCTGAACTGCAGTTAACAGTACCTGGAATGCTTCCTTTTGGATGGGGAGACATTTAGTAAGATTTTTTGTTTTTTCAAATCAGAATGCTTCATAATATACTTCCTTTTCACTGATCTTTCATAGTACTTCATGAAAAATTATCTTAGAATTATAAATTAATATTATTGCTAAAAGGAATATGTAATCACCTTGCAGTTTTATCTGCACATAGAATTTTCTAAACATCTATGTACATGTTTCTTTTTTACACAGATGGAGCTGCATGGAACATAGATTTGGATGCATCTTTAGTCAGGTGCAGGGACATGTAATGCTCCTCTTAGGTGTCGTGCTGACAGGAGCAACAGAAAGCAGTAGACAGGTAACTTTTTAAAGGATTGCATGCTTTTTATTTTCTGTATTTTTATTTTTTATTTTTCATTCATAGTCATAGAACCATTAACTGGACAAAATCAGTTTTTGCCACCTGGACTTTCTGTGAGCAACTTTGTCCACGTGCCTACCTCGAGCATTCCCGCCACAGGCAGCTTAGTACTATCCCAAATTCAGGCATTGAAAATCAGTATGAAGCATCTGTAAGACCCCTGCAGAGTAATGGTGAGAGTTACCCAGGCACCCTCCTTTGGAAAGCTGAAGTGTCTGTAAGCTCTTAAGCTGTGCCATAACTCCTCCCGTTGTGCTGACTCAGCTCTCCCTGTCTTTTGTGTGGAGGAGCTGGACTTGCATTCCTTCCTGTTTTCTTGCCTATCTGCTGCCTGCTTTGCATGTGGCCCAATGAGCCTTTTATTCCTCACACCCAGATTTGCATGTGTAGATAAGGGCACCTCTTTATGTATGTTTATTTTCTGGTTGTGGTGTCAGGCTGAGTGACAGCTCACAACTGAGCTTGTGGTTAGCGAGACACAATAGCTGGAGATGCAGTTCTGTGTGTCACTAAAACATGAGCTTCATTGCTGCCATGAGCAAAGAAACAGTTTGTGTCTTTTATTTCTGTGTTTGGCTGAGCAGTTAGAGCAGGGTAAGGAGGCTGATTTGGACATGCTGCTTTCAAAATACAGTGCTGTATGTGTAGCAGTGCTTCTCGTGTGAAAAATTCTGTAACTGTGAGATATAAATTGATTCTTTGGAATCTGTTTAGTTGACTTGTGCTGGTTTCTTTCTCCTACTGAATCCTTCCAGCACACTTCTGTGCATAGCTGTGGCTTTTGCTTCCTCCTTTCACAGCATCACGGCCCATTCCAGTGCTTGACCACTCTTTCAGAAGAGTAGTATTTCTCAAAGTCCAGCCTAAATCTCCTTCTTTCTTTGTTGTGTTTCACACTTTGCAAGCTGTGAATTGCCAGGGAACAGTTCAATGTGCTCTGGAGTTTAGGGGCACAAACTCCCAACAAACACCATGTGGTTTCAAACCTCAAGTTCAGAAAGATGAGAGATTTGCAGTGCTCTGCCTGGTGCAGGAATGATGTGCTCTGCAAGGCGCTTTCCATGAAGGCCTCAGATTTCTGCTCAAACTCCTCTACATCAAAACCAACCCAACACCTTCTGCTTGTTGTACCTGGAGGTATCGGTTGCAGGAGTTGCTGCATTTTGTGTAATAACATTTAGTCAGCAGTGTAACGTTAATGGGTTCCTATGCTTTCAGTCATTTAAAATATCCTTGCAAATGCTTTTACTGAGGGAAATGTTTCATGTTGTTTTTTGGAAAATGAAACAGTTGACTTGTGTACCTCAAGGCCGTTTTCATTTTTTCCTGGACACAGTGCAGTTCTTGCTTGCCCCCTTGCCCTGTGCTCCTGCTGTGGGGTGGCTCTGCACCATGCAGTCCTTCGCTCACACCACCCTTCCCAGTGGGATGGAGGAGAGAATCAGGGGAGCAAAAATACAGGACTCATGAGTTGAGATAAAGCCATTTTCTACGATAGTGAAAATAATAGTAGTTATGACTATATTTATGTAGCGTGTTTGTGTCTGTATGACAAGTGATGCACCAGGAATTGCTCACCATCCCCAAACGATGCCTAGCTAGCCCCCAGGTAGTGGAAGAGCATGAGATGGACTCCCACCTCCTTCGAAACTCTTTCCACTTCATGTCATGTGGTATGGAATATCCTTTGGCCAGATTGAGTCAGCCATCCTTATTCTATTCCTTGTGCCCTTCACTGACCGTGGCCTTGGCTCTGTGTCTAGCTCTAATTTATAGGAGGAAGAGGAGGTTCTTTGGTATATGTATACCTGACATGAGAGAGATTAAGAAACACCAGTCCAAATACTGGTTTGACCAGTTTATTACAAATCTTAAATAGGGAGACAGGGAAAGGGAGGCCAGTGATTATTATGAATGAGGGTGATGGGGAAGGGAAAGTGGGTGATAGGAAAGGTAGAAAAGAAGCAAGAACTGCTTAAAGCAGGAATAGTCACCACCAAGATCCAGCAGCATCCTGTTGCATGCTGTTCTGATGGTCCAAGGCAAAAGTGCAGCGGAGAGCAGCAGCAGCATGGCTGGCCTTAGGCAGCAAGCAGGTACAGCAACAGAGCAAGTCCAGGAGGAAGGAGCAGGTCTCAGGTAGCAGGCTCAGGAAAGTCCATTAGCTTGTGAGCCTTCTGATGTCAGACACCTTTCCTCAAGGTTGTTCGTCCCTTTTTTATTTTCCTTCTGCTACCCGCATGGCATTCCTGGGCATTCGGGTAAGAGCTGTGTGCAGTACCTCTGAGATGGCATCTTCCTTGAGATAAGCCTACATAGAAGACTGCTTCCCACTCATTAAGCTGTGGCTGATCTCTCCCTCTTTCTCTCTCTCATTGCCCCTGGCCTGCAAATGTTCGCCCAAAAGACTTTGCCAGCTTTGCCTGGGGCTTGCCTGGATGTGTCCTGTGTCCCTCAGACAAAGGACTTCTCCGCCTTTGCCCAGGACATGTCCATCTGTGTTCCTTAGCAAGCTTTGAGACAATGCTGCAAAAAAACTAATCTCTTGCACCATCTTGTGACTCAAAGGTTAAAATGGGACAGTGGTGATCCACCATGATCACAGAATCATAGTATCACAGAACTGTAGGGGTTGGAAGGGACCTCCAGAGATCATTGAGTCCAACCCCCTGCCAAAGCAGTTCCCTACACCAGGTTGCACAGGTCGGCATCCAGGCAGGTCTTGAACATCTCCAGAGAAGGAGACTCCACCACCTCCCTGGGCAGCCTGTTCCAGTGCTCCGTCACCTCGCTGTAAAGAAGTTCTTATGCACATTCATGTGGAACTTCCTGTGCTGCAGTTTCCGGCTGTTTCCCCTTGTCCTGTCTCCACTCACCACTGAAAAGAGTCCGGCCTCGCCATTCTGCCCCCCACACCTTAGATATTTATAGACCTGGATCAGGTCCCCTCTCAGTCTTCTTAAGGCTGAACAGACCCAGTTCACTCAGCCTTTCTTCATAGGGGAGATGCTCCAGGCCCCTCACCATCTTTGTGCCCCTCTGCTGGACTCTTTCCAAGAGTCTTCCTGTCCTTTTTGTACTGGGGAGCCCAGAACTGGATGCAGTGCTCCAGATGAGGCCTTACCAGGGCAGAGTAGAGGGGGAGGATCACTTCCCTTGACCTGCTGGCCGCGCTCTTTTTAATGCACCCCAGGATGCCATTGGCCTTTTTGGCCATGAGGACACACTGCTGGCACATGGCCAGCCTGTTGTCCACCAGGATGCCCAGGTCCCTCTCTGCAGAGCTCCTCTCCAGCAGTTCATCCCCCAGCCTGTACTGATGCATGGAATTATTCCTCTCTAGATGTAAGACTACACTCGCTTCTGTTAAACCTCATCTGGTTTCTTACTGCCCAGCTCTCCAGCCTGTCCAGCTCTCGCTGAATGGCAGCACAGCCTTCAGGCTGTCAGCCAATCCTCCCAGCTTCGTATCATACGCAAAGTTGCTGAGGGTGGCCACCATCCCCTCATCAAGGTCATTGATGAAGATGTTGAACAAGACCGGACCCAGCACTGGCCCCTGACAAACATCGCTGGTTACAGGCCTCCAACCAGACTCTGTACCACCAATAACAACCCTCTGCGCTCTGCCAGTCAGCCAGTTTTCAACCCACCTCACTGTCCACTCATCTATCCCACACTTCCTCAGCTTTGTTATAAGGATGTCGTGGGAGACAGTATCAAAAGCCTTGCTGAAATCAAGGTAGACCACATCCACTGCTCTTGCCCCATCCACCCAGCATGTGACAGCATCACAGAAGGGCACCAGGTTGGTCGAGCACGACCTCCCCCTGGTGAATCCATGCTGACTGTTCCTGATAACCTCCTTTTCTCCCAGTTGTCTGGAGATGACATCCAGCACAAGCTGTTCCATCACCTTTCCAGGGACAGAGGTGAGGCTGACAGGCCTATAATTACCCAGGTCTTCCTTCTTGCCCTTTTTGAAGACCGGAGTGACATTGGCTATCCTCCAGTCTTCATGGACCTCCCCTATCCTCCAAGACCTCTCAAAGATGATGGAGAGAGGTTCGGCAGCGACCTCCGCCAGCTCCCTCAGCGCATGTGGAGCTCCAGACAAACAAAAGAGACGGTAAAGTGCCTGTTGCTTTGCTCCAAGCTCAGATCTACCAGAGCTTGATGGAAGGGTTATTCTTGGAGGGAGAGCAGGAGCTTCTAAGGCCACTGTGGAAACAACAGCAGAGAGCTTTTGTTTCACTGCTGCTGACCCCTCTTCTGCACACACATAGCATTATGAAGCTATTTGTAATAGTTTTCGTGTAAGACTTCCATATGTGTTGTATTGTGACTAGCTTCCCCTCTGGTGTTTTTTATCTCTACAAGAGGGATGGCCAATAAGATATCCTCTCCAGGGGACTCCTGTAATCACTGTCTTAGCTGCTAGCTTACTGGACGTGGGCTGCTTTTTCTCAGACAGTGAGAGGACCACAGGAACTAGCAGCATTTCTAAGCTAGTCCTGCCTGTAAATGTTATCAATAAAGTCTTGGCTAGCACGGACAGCTCTTTTTGGCAAAATTGTATGGGAACAGGGTATGTAAATTAATAAGCATAAGTGAATTTCAAAGGAATTTTGTCATAAGGGCAGTTACACCATAAGATAAAGCCAATAGATCTCCCTGTGTATACTGTTCTCTCTTTGTCTCGTGGTAAGCATTGGACTGGCTGCTGGAAGAGAGACAATCACTCAGTTTGATTTGCATCTTTATTCAGAAATAGTTTCTATCTGATGACTCTGCTCCTCAATTCCCTGAGACTTAGCATGTCTTGGAGCAAGTTGATGTGGCTGTTTTGCTGTGTGCGTTATTCCATGTCTGGCTTAGCCCCGCTCACTGACCAGCTCTTTCTCCCTCTTCTCCCCACCCTCTGCCTGCTCCCTTGGTGCAGCTTTTGCTTCTGGAAGAACAGGATGAAATGATGAGTAATGGCTGTAGATTCAAGGAACTTGTCTACCTTGTTCAGACCAGGTAAATGCCTTGTTTTCTCCCCCAGCATCGTTTCACAGCCCGTGTCGCACTGTGTTTAGTAACAGAGCCTCATAAAACTTTGGTGTGATAATTCTGTGTCATGTGTGGGATTTTTCCTCTTCCCTTCTATCTCAGGCCTCAGAAGGATGCTGTCTGCCCCAGTCTGTGCAGAGCTCCACAATATGAGCCAGGGGCACAAGCATGCGTGTGTGTGCCTGACAACTGCATGGAGCATGCATGAGCACAGCAGGGATTCAAGCAGAGGAAATCCATGTGCAGGACTGCAGTCAGTGCTGGTGGTGAGGCTGCTGGGAGCAGGGCTGGGGGCAGATCCACCCCCAGCACTGACACCTCTCACTGCCCTGCTACTGTGGTATCACAGTGCTCTGGGCAAATGAATCTGCTGCTTCGTACTATACACTCCCCATCTGCTAGTACAGGGATAGTGACTTGATAAAATGCTGCATAATAGGTTACCGTGTTTTAATAGTCTGAATGAAATCATTATTTGTGGGAGACGGATTGCATTGGCAAATTCCATTGAGAATTGATTCCTGTGTTTGGCATTTTCCTGGTCTCAGCATAGCAATTCTTTTCATGATACATCTCAGCACTTCTGAGCATCTATCTTAGTAATTCATACTGAGTATTAATGGGAAATCACTGTGAAGTGTCCCTCTCTTTAAATCTCTTTGCATGGTTCTGCTGACCTTTCTTGGGTGCTAAAAAAAAAGTGCATACAGAATAGACATGCATTTGCAACCTGCATTGAATTGTGTGTGGTAGAGAGCGCTCGTTGCCACATTGTGCTGATGCAGTGTCATTGCTGCATGCAGAGACAGGTTGTGAATTTGTAGAGAACTTGCTTTTGTGCACTAACTGTGCACAGTGATTCAAAGGGAGCGGAGGAGCTGTGTTTTGAAGCTGGTACTTGGCACAAGATGAACTACAACAGTGCAGTTATTGTGTGGAAACATGAAATAATTTCCTGTTGCCAGGACTTGTGGTGCAGGAACACACATGGGCATGTGTGTGGATATAGTAGTGCTCTTGGGAGAGGGAGGAGAGGATGAAAGTGAACATCTCACATCTCTTAAAATGGCACATGCTTGGGCACAACTTGGAGCCTCTGGATCTCCTGGGCAGCAGCTCCATAAAGTCTGTCTGCAGTGCTGCATCTTCCTTGTTCATGGCACAGACCTCACCATGCTGTCCCCAGATAAATTATCTTTCTGCATTATATTCTGAGAGATGTCCCCGCAAAGCATCTGAGGGGCTGACAGCAGTGTCAGACCTACCATAGCACAGCTGGTTGTGCTCCGGCCACGGCACTGCCCATACTTTGCATACAATGAACAGCTACTTGCAATTCCTGGGGCTTGCTCCTGCACATACACATCCTGCAGGTTCCTACAGACACCTGAGGGTATCGAGCCTTCAATCTCCTAAATCCCTTGAAAAATCTAAACTAAAACGAAAGCATGGGGAGTTGGCCTTCTCACTAAAGAGGATGGGTACAAATCCAGTCATCTTTGCATTTAGTAATCCTTCTGACTATATAAGATTTCTCCACACCCCACATTCGAGATTCATCATGTATTAAGCATGTTCATGTCTTCAGGTCCTTGTGGATCTTTGTCACCAGGAGCCTGCACTTCCTTTGTTGTTTGCAAGACAGAGTTACTCAGTTTGCTTATAGTACTTACAGACTTAGTACAGTTGAAATATACAGGCATCCTTCCTTTCTGCCCCAAAGGAGCTGGGTTGCTCTGAATTTGATTTGTGTGGATTGTGCTCCTTCATGGGACTGAGTGATTTCAACACAGGATTTCCTGGGATTACCCTCTTGCCCCTGACTCTTGTCCCTGCCTTTTCCTGCAGTGCTTGGTTATCTGGACAGTGTTTGCAGGCCACTAAAAGAAATCCTCGCATTCCAGAAAATACAGACAACAAAAGAGACAGGCAGAAAAGTGGCACTAATACTTTGACACTGGTGGGAATCTCAACAGAAAGCACTGTGCTAAAGGTGTGAGGTTAAGGGATCATCACTATCAAGAAAAAAGTCATAGTATGGAAGATTTAGCTGTGGTGTGCTGACTAGAAGAAAAAAAAGAACTCTTACCTTGTAGCTTTTTCTTTCTGTCTCTCTTAATGGATATCACAGAATCACAGAATTGTAGGGGTTGGAAGAGACCTCCAGAGATCATCGAGCCCAACCCCCCTGCCAAAGCAGGTTCCCTACAGCAGGTCGCACAGGTAGGTGTCCAGGCAGGTCTTGAACATCTCTAGAGGAGACTCCACAGCCCTCCTGGGCAACCTGTTCCAGTGCTCCGTCACCTCACCTAAAGAAGTTCTTGTGCTCAATTGCAGATCCTGAAGGCGATGGTTTTGTGACTGCAATTATGGAGTTGGCTTTTTAATGGCAGTTGCACCCCGCTAACGTGCAGCTCTTTGTGACACAGGCAGGAGACGGGCAGCAGTACTGCAGCTCCTCTGGCAGCTTTGCAGCTAGGTCAGGAAGCAGAAGATGTGGATTTGAAAGAAGAAGTCAGTTCCTGGGACATTCCCCTGTTCGTCCCCTTGCTGTCCCCTTGCCGCAGCCCGGATTCCCCTTGCATTCCTGTACGTGTCCCTTCTATCGCCCAGACTGCTCCTTGCTTTCCCCAAGGTCACCCTTTACCTTCCCATGACAGCCCACCCATAATTACCTCAGAGCCCCAATAGCTCCCTCAGTATTTCCTCAGCAAGACCCCATAGGCACCCCACAGCTCCTTAATGGCCTCCTCAGACCTGGTACTCCTCCCCCATAGCTGGCCAAAAACCACACAGACCTCCACAGCAGCACCCCACGTTCCCCACTGGACTCTCACTGAACCCCCTTATTTCCTCTCTCAGACCTCCCTTACCACCTCAAGGGCTCCTTAGCGACCTCACAGACACCCACAGTCCCTGACAGGACCCC